CAATTTAAAATGTTCAATTCCTAAAAAAAAAAATTATACATTGGACTAAGAAAAATTTCATGGGGTTTATTGAGGAAACCAAGAAATTCCTAAAAAAAAAAATCGAAGATAAATGTGTTCATGAGAAATTCCCTGGTTTTGATGCCAGCCAAGGGAGTAAAGTGAAACAGAAGGACAAACTTTGCCAAGAAGGAAACTGTCAACCTAAAAATTATTTGGAGTTTTTATCTAGTAATAATTTGAATTTATGATCCTTGGATTGTAGGATTTGATTTCAAAGCTAGTATATGCGGTAATTTTTAGAAGATTCACCCCAAAGAAACTAGCTACTTTTTGCAGTTTATGATGCCATTTTATCACATTTTTTCTCTGAATCTGGCAAAGAACGGCTATTCTTTTAAGGCCAAATTTATTGATCTTGGTTTTGTCGAAAAAAATAATTAATGAAGATAAATGAATAATAAGAGAAAGGAACATAAAACAAAGAATAGTAAGTGAGGAGAAATGGTTACTCATCTAAAAATGATGGGTATATATGTTTATTAATTTCCCGCTTTGGGGAAAAGATATATGTGGCTTGGCTAAACAGACTTTTCTTTACGTAACATTTGTTGAGGCTTCCAAATTAACTTTCAGTAGTACATTATAAATATGATTAGATGAGTTTTTGTGATCAAATAACATTGTAACACAATAATATAGCCAGAATATTACACTTACAAGGGTTATAGATAAAAATATAAATATAAACAAAATTCGATAATAATTTCAAACCCGTGCGAATGCACAGGTTCAAAACCTAGTATCCTATTATGGAAAAAATCAATACAATCCAAAAAACTTACGTGGCATTCTCTCCTTAATCCAATTCCCTCCGAAAACACATCAGTAAGTGATATGAAACATTGCTGATCCAACAGAGCGCGACTCTAAACTGCAAAAACTTGTTTCAAATTACGACACTAAGACTTGTTCTTGTTCCACCTATAACTCGCCAAGACAACCAACGACTCCGGGGATATTTCGATTCAAGGATGAACTAAATAGAAAATATAAAATATGGAAGACAAGAAGATGGGAGAAGTGTTTTCGAAATGAACCCTAGTAGAACTCGTCAATTAAATCTCCACCTTGCGATGGAAACGCGTCGATTTGCTCCAAAAGGACCACGAACTCAGCATCCAAGTTGAAAAACACCAAATCTCGAACAAGCGTAGCCGCGCAGTTTGCAAGAAACCAAATTCAAGTTTATGCACATAAAAGTTAATCACCCAGATTAACACAAAAGAACTTCACTCGTTCCTATCAAATATCAATCAAAATTCATCATCATCTTATTAAAAAAATTCGGCCAACCCACCCTATTTATAGGGATAAACGGGCCTTTACAAAGCAAAGCCCAAATTCAAGGAAACCTTAATTGAATTTGGAAAAATATTAAATAACTAAAATTCAAATCTTACTAAGAAAGTAATTAAAAAGGCTACTTCTATTACAAGTAAAACTCTTGTATTTGGAAATTACCAATAACAATTAAAAACCTTACAATAAAAGTTACCACAAAAGTGATTAGGGTTTTAAGGAGGTCTTAAACCCGTTAAATCCACATCAGTAAGTCATGGTAAGTGGTAACTAATTTTATACCTTTAACAATTAGCAATATTTATTATCAAATATCAATTACGTGCCGCCTCTAAAGGAACTTGGAAGTTGGAATCGACTCCCTCCACCCCCATTTCCTTGACTTTGGCTATCTTGTCCAAATCTGGCATGGAGTTGAGAATTAACAAATAATTGATGATAAAGTAGTGGATGTTAATCTAACAGTCTCCTCGGCACAAAGAAATCCGGCCACGGTAAACTTCTTCTCTCAGATCCACCATCAGCTAAATAAATATAAACAATAAGAAATTGAGGTTTGTTATGCTCTGTTCGTATCTTGAAAGTTGTTTTTTTCTTCTAAACTGCAATGGGTCTACTCTATTCTTTCAGTTGGTGACAACTTTGAAGCAAACCTTGATGACCCTTCATCATATTTCCGACGACCCTCAAAATCCATACTTCTGTTCATCGTTGTTACTTATAGATGCTAAGCAATGGTAGCTTTTTGTTTCTGAAAATATTTATCGAGTGATAGATCATCTCAAGTCAAATTGCAGATGACAAATCGAGAGTATTTCATTTTGTTTTGGCAATGAAGTTGTAAAGGTGCGTGTTTCCAATTTTGGCTTCTTTTTTTTTTCCCTTTTGACTCATGCCAAATTATTATACTGTGAATTGTCATCATATGACAATTATGATTTAAGTTGGTCATGGTCTTTTCCTATTTTGTTAGTGTTGATTCTGTGAGTTTCATTGAATGATTTTTTAGCCCTTCATATTTAAATGATTTTTTTAGTGTTGATCAAATGGCCTAATGTATTGAACTTCTTCAAAATTTTGACTTGCCGAAGCGATGATGCTAATTTTTCATTTGATCCAAAGCCATTAGGTACTAATGCGGATCACAACTTTCTGAAATTTCGACCGTCAGTCCTTAATCCCAGCACAATGTGTCTTTATTGAAGAGGCTGCAATAGAGAAGACTCAAAATCGACAGCAAAGACAAACCCGACAATACTCATGAAAAAAACCATGAGAACATTGTGATTAAGAATAACAAAAGACAACACACAAAAATTCACAAGAGGGGGGAAGTTTGCAGCATCATGAAAACGTAAGTAACCGAACGAATGTGTAATTCCTGTTTTTAAGATGTGTTCTAGACTACATTTTCTAAATCCATGAAATGAATATGGAGTAAATCTCTTGGATTTTTTTTCCTCACATCGATACATCATAGAACTCCGTATATGCATCGCTCCGGGTTGACTAATGTAGGAGTTGTATGATTATGCGAAATATTGTACTTGGATGTAGTCTAACAACTTTTGTTGTTACAATTAGTTTTAGTTTCATAATTCGGAAATTAGTTTCATTAGTTGATCATGTTTTTTTCCTTTTTTTTTTGGAAATTGAATCGATCATTTTAACTTGTACAAAGGATGCATTTTCATTTCCTATATCTAGACTATTCATTTGGTGTGGTTGTCTGCACTTCTCGAGATCTGGTGAATGAGTCGTTGACACTCCCAAAAGAAATAAATATGTACTTTAAACTATTAGCTAGTGGTAAGCAGGGTCATTCCACAGAGACGACAGTTAACTGCTTAAAATCTGATTATTGTGCAAAACAAGGGAAAAGAGCAGAAGGGCTAACCACCTTCCTATCTATATGATCCAGTTTTGATTCATTGTAGTTCTTGTTGCATATGATTTATTGTTTGATTAGGCACTTGTATCCTTTACAATTCCTCTCAGACAGAATAAAGAGTCTTAGATTAGTTAAATTACCTATCTCTCAGTCATTGTAATTCACTAACCTAAGCCATTGAGTTCTTAAGCCCATTTGATCACTTATGCCAATGCACCTAACTCTCGTTGATGATTGAAACCAAATAGTAGATTTCCTCCTTTGTCATAGACTAGATTAAACAGTTCTAAAGTTATGCTTCCCTTCTCAGATCTTCATAACTATACATGCACAATCAATTAAGTTGACAGGTTAATTAAAAGGCTAGTTTAAACACTTAACTAGACACAACGCCTCATATAAGAAACTGAATCAAAACCTTCACGTATAGATAGTAGGGATTAGACCCTTAACTGAGTTCAGCTACTCATGTATTGAGTTAAACATGAGAGCAACAAAGTTAAAAGATTAGTGATGATTAAGATCAAAAGGTTGGAGGATAGAAGGGAAGAGTGGTAGCAGGTCAGATTCTGTCTGCTCACTTTGGCAAGTGGCCTCCGCCACTTGATAGAGTGACAGTCTGCACTCTTAGCTCTTGCTACTACCCTGTTTCTACCCAACTGACTTAACTAACTAAACTGTCTTTGGACTGATTCTAACTACCCAATCTGTTGTTTTCCTAACTGCTATTGGCTGACTATTTATAGAGAATTGGAGAGGCTTGGATTGGTTGAGATCTGGCCTTCTTCTATGAAGCAGAGAGGTGAGGCATCAACTTGCAGCTGTTGAGACTTGTTTATTCAACAACTTGCCAAGTTGCTGTCTTCTTCTTTCGCTGCTCTTTCTCTTCAGTCGTAATTAGCCACCTTCCTCTTATCATTGTCTCCTTTTCTTAGTCTTCTTCTTCGGCTCAGCTTCTCCAATTTCCAGTCACAAATCTCTATTTCTTCATTCTTTAATCTTTAACAGCACAACTAGCAGCAGCATCAAGCAACAACATCAGAAACATGCTTCCTTTTATCATTGTCTGTCAGCCCCCAATTCAGCCTCAATCTCCTGCCCTTTTTCTTCCTTGTTTCCTGGGATCACTTGCAGCACCATATCTCACCTATCTGCAGTAGCCAATCCATCAGTTCAGCAGCGGCAGTCATAGCAGGTAAGTAGCAGAGTTGCAGCTACTGTTTTTTTCACATATTCTCCCATTTTCTCTTCTTCAACTTGCAGCAGCAACAACTTACAGTGATGGTAAAGCAACTCCTTCCTTGGGCAGCAAGATTTCAGCTAGGGACTCCTCCTGATTGACAGCAGCAACAACTTCTGTAGTAGCAACTTGGCAGCAGAGAAGTTGCCAATTTCTTCTCCTCAATTGAGTTTGCTGCTGCAGAGTTCTTCCAATTGGGACTATCTGCCATTAATCCTCATCCTTCAGCCAAGATCCCTTCAGCCCTTGATTTCCAGCAGCTTCCAGTATGGTACTTTTTTATGCCATTTTGTGCAATTTGGCCCCGATTTGTGCTGATATTCTACGTTGGCCCTCTGATCACCCTGAAATGTAAAATCAACCCCAGAGTAAACTAATTCTATCTAAGTTGACACCTAATTCTAAGTAAAATTGAGTAGAAAATGCCTGCTAAAAGGGTATATATTTTAGTGTTATCAAGAGCTTGCCAGGCAGACATATGAAGTTGTGGAGCAGTTTCTTGCTCCCATGAGAGAGTATGGGTTTCCGGAGATTAGGTCGTTGCTTTGTATCGGTGGGGTGGACATGAAATCTCAGCTAGACATTGTGAAGAAAGGAGTTCATATAGTGGTTGCTACACCTGAGAGGCTCAAAGATATGCTTGCAAAGAAGAAGATGAATCATGATAGTTGCAGGTACTTGACATCAGATGAGGCAGATCGATTGGTAGATCTTGGATTTGAAGACGACATTAGGGAAGTATTTGATCACTTTAAAGCTCAACGTCAAACTCTCCTATTTTTTGCCACGATGCCCACTAAAATCCAGGTGTTTGCCAGAAGTGCACTGGTTAAGCCAATTACTGTGAATGTTGGAAGGGCTGAAGCTGCAAATCTGGATGTGATACAAGAGGTGTAGTATGTAAAACAAGAGGCTAAAATAGTCTACCTTCTTGAATGCTTGCAGAAGACCCCACCGCCTGTTCTAATCTTCTGTGAGAACAAAGCTGATGTTGATGACATTTATGAGTATTTTCTTTTAAAGGGAGTTGAAGCAGTGGCAATTCACATGGGAAAGGATCAAGGAGAGAGATTATGCCATTAAGTCCTTTAAAGAAGGGAAGAAAGATGTGTTGGTCGCAAGTGATGTTGCTTCAAAAGGTTTACACTTTTTGGATATTCAGCATGTCATCAACTATGATATGCGAGCAGAAATCGAGAATTAGGCCAAACAGCAAGATGTGGGATGACAGACACCATTTCTGCCTTATGCTATGTAAATGCCGCAACCATTTGTTATCCGCACAACCATATTTGACACACAATCTACAACAGAAAAAAAGATTCAAACTCAGTTTAAAAAAAAAAAAAAAACAACAAATAATCCTGCAGGATTACTATAATTCTGCAGGAATAATAGTTCACCCAAAAATTAAAAATGCTCATCTCAAGAAAGTACAATGCTCATTCCAGTAACCACAATGTTCATCACAAATATTTCAGTAAAAAAAAAGACATTTCCGCTTGATATCAAAGATACTTACTCATTCCAGTAATAGTCAAACTCAGCCTGCGTATTTGTGTGTCTCAAGACCATATAAAACAAATCCAGAAACTTGTCTTTTGCCCTCAAATAACCAATGTGATTTTTTGAATTCTCACTTATCTGCCATGTACACAACAGATGCGTGCTTCCTTAAAAACATCCGGAATGGTGCATGCCAATGATGAGCTTTGATCAGTCATGAAGGTAGATAGCTCTTTCCCTCCCATTGATTCCAAAAACTTCCTGAAATGACACCTAAATGAATCAACTTTTTCATCTAGTATAAATCCAATACCGAACATGACGTTATGAGAATGATGATTCATTCTTGTGAAAGGCGCACACACCAACTTGTATCGTGTTGTACTATATGTTGTGTCGTGCACTACCAAATCCCCAAACACTCGTAGTCTGCCCTCATCTTAGCATCTCTCCAAAAAATAGCACAAAGCCTAAGAGAATCATCATGATAATAATCAAAAAAAAAATCGGTCTCATTTTTTTCCCTCAAACTCAGTATCTGCAACAACTTATTTGCATCACCACCCTCCCACTTTGCACGTTCAAGTGTAGCAACTTTATTCCTGCATCAGTGATAGTGTAATTAAGATTCGGAGAGCCGTGACCCTGATTGCTCAACATCCTATACCCATTCGTAACTCTCTTTCATCTTTGCCAAAAGATGTACATCATTGTCTGGCATATTTATGTGGGAACGATCCAAATGAGCCTTAATTTCAGGAATCGTATCGTGGTTGTGCTCTACTTTGTGCACAACCACCCTCCAAATCCCTTCCTCATTCACTTTAATCTGAATCATAACTTCTTCCCTCTAATTTTTTTTCTTTCCTTGTTTATTACAAGTAAACTATTTCACATGCAATTCACCAACCCCTCTGTATCTGTTTCTAAATTTCTTAATACCAAAACCATACTTCCTCGCATATGATTCATAACATATATATGCATCGTCAATTGAATTGAATTCATGGCCAAAAGATCTACATCTACAAAAAACAGAAATGAAAAAAAAATCAGATATACATTGCAGTGAGCATAATTCATCAAAAAATGAACTCTGCAGGATATCACATTAATATTGTACTTGTGCAGAACTACAATGCTCATTTAAAAACATGAAATGCTCATTTCATAAAACTACAATGCTCATTGCAGTAAACATAACTGTAGTTCATCTAAAACTCAAAATGTTCATCTCACAGAACTACAAATGCTCATTTCAGTAAACAATGAACTAATAGTTCATCTAAAACTCAAAATGTTCGTCCCACGAAACTATAATATTCACGGCCGAAAATATACAGGAAACGCAGTAAATGGCCATCAAAATTCAACAAAAACATACAAAATATTGAAATTCTTCCAATTGATATTCAGGTTCACCTCCAACATAAACGACGCTTTCATCAAATCCTTCAGCATTAATGATTCTTTCATCCTCTGATTCTTCGTCTGAAAAAGGAACAATAGCAGTAGACATTGCTTCCGAACAGCTCATCTACCAGACCAACACAAATACAAAAACTGCAATAAATCACATAGTTCTGAAAAAAAATTTATACGATGTTGAGGGTGAAGTTCCAATTCATACGACAAAGCCGATGAGATTCAAAATAACTCAAATTGAAATAGGAAAATAAATCAATCGAAGGATTACCTTAGAATCACCGTCAGGAAACTAAATCCAATTGAATTGAAGCCGGAATTGAAGTCGGAAGATCACCGTCAAAGAATCACCAGATGAAGTTCTAAGTTCTAATAACTTCAATTAGGTCATAAAAGCGGAAGAGAAAAGGGGAGAAAAAAAAGCCTGATGATGCACGTAAGTTGCATCCAATTTTTAAAAAATTGAGGACACGTTTTTTTAAACGTGTATTACACACGCCCGTAGTGCTTGGTATTATTTGCGAATGTGTGGTTTCTTTTTAAGATTCCAAATGATCATTATTCGTGATACTCTAAAAGATCAAAAAATCCGACACAAATTGAAGAAGAAAATCATAATTTTGTCAGGAGAGGAAATTAGCGTTTATAATCTCGAAAAATCAATTCAATTAATTGGATCATTAATTCTATACAATACAGACCTAGATTGTATGTATTTATTGTGTCGATTAGCCAACTTAACTAACAAAAATTATGCAATGACCCCCAAGGTGCTAGTCAATAACCGTATGGCAGTCAAGATGGAGAACCTCTCTGATAGTGGTGGCGTACAAGATGGTGGTGGCATACAAGATGGCAGTCAACATCCAAATGCTTGGTCTTTTCATGGAAGACTGGATTCTCTGCTATGTATATAGCAGATTGGTTGTCACACCACAAGGTTATAGGAAGATGAACAAGCACTAGCAGGTCTTGCAGCATGTATGAGATCTAGAGTAGCTCTCTTGTAGTGAACCTCATGCTGCGGTATTCTACTTCTGCTAAGGAGTATGAAACTGTGGTTTGTTGCTTTGTTTTCCAAGAGATTAAAGATGAACCAAGGAAAACATGAAATCATGTCACTGATCTTCTATGCAAAGGATTGGAAGCATCGTCAGCATCACTAAGCTTCTAATTTCAGATCATTGGTAGAACTGTAGAAAATGCCATGAAAAGGAGAACCCTTGAGATACTTAAAGACATGAATTAAAACATCCCAATGAGCCTTACATGGCTGATAGACATATTTGTTGAATTGCTGCACTGGGAAAACTATGTATGTTCTGGTGGAACCAAGATACATCAACTGCACAACCAACTTCCTATATGGAGAGTGATTGGAGATAGGATCACCTGGATTATCATCAAAATAATGGCCCTTTAGTAAAGGTGTGGATGTAGGCTTACTTCCAAGGAGTCCAGTGTCTTGTAAAATGTCAAGGATGTATATTCTCTCGCTCAAATACATTCTTTCTGATTGACGATGTGGTAATCTCTATACCAAGGAAATACTTGGCATAACAAAGGTCCTTGATAGCAAACTGGTCATGTAAGTAGTGCTTGACCTGAGTGATTGCTTCCTCATCTGATCCTGAGGATATCATCCACATAGACTATGAGGCAAGAAAAGATCCTGATCTTATTTGATGAATAAACAAGGATCATTGGAAGATTTTTTAAACCCATATTGTTGACTCTTGGTTGTAAATTCTGTATTTCACTGTTTTTTAGAGGTCTTTTTAGGCCATATAGGGATCTGTTCAGTTTGCAAACCTAAGGATATGAACCTTTGGTGTATCCTTGAGGCAGTTCCATGTAAACTTCTTAATCCAAATATTCTTGAAGAAAAATATTATTGATGTCCAACTGGTGCAAAGACCAATTTGAAGCAGCAGCTATAGCTATCAATAGTCTCACAGTAACTACTTTAGCCACTTGAGAGTAACTATCCAAGAAATCAACTCCCTCCACCTGATCTAACCCTTTGCCACCAATCTTGCTTTAAACTTCTCTATAATGTCATCAGAATTGTACTTTTATCTTGTATAACCAATTATTCCCTATTGCGTTCTTTTCTGGTGGCAAATCTATCACTTCCCAAGTGTGATTGGTCTCAATTGCATTCACTTCAGACTGCATAGCTTGCACCCATTCAGGTTGAGTCCTTGCTTCCAGATAAGAAGTTGGTTCTTATGCATTTGAATACTGGCTAAAAATGTTATGTGTGCAGGACTGAAAACAGGTGTATGATAGTATGGAAAAGATAAAAGAGTATAAGGGAGAGGTTTACCTAATAACAGTGAGGTTTCACTCATAACCTACTTAACATACTAAGAATCATAGTCATTCATCCACATTGGTGGTTTGGAAGTCCAAGTACTCCTCCTTAAGGTAGTGATGTCAGGATCATGTGAAGAAGAAGGTGAATGAGAGGTTTCAGTAATGGAAGAGTCTGTATGAGGAGATTCATTTGATATATTTGGAAGAGAAACTGGTATAATATCTAGTGTATCTGTAATGGATAGTAAAGGAGAAGTAGTATGAGTGTTGGTTTCTTTATATTCATACAAGACAACATTTGTGGAAATTATAACTTTTCAGGTATTAGGATATTACAGCTTATAAGCATTTTGACCATGAGGACCTATAAAAATTTCCTTAAGGGCTCTAAGATCAAACTTGTCCTTATGTGGTTTGCATAAGTAAGACAACCAAATACTCTAAGGTTTGTAAGATCAGGGCTTTTGTGATAAAAGATTTCATAAGGACACTTGTGTTGCAATACTGATGAAGGTAAACGATTAATCAGGTATGTAGCAGTACGAATTGAATCCCCCTAGAAATACTTAGGCAAGTTTGATTGGAATAATAAGGATCTAACTACTTGAAGCAAATATCTATGCTTCCTTTCTACTACTCCATTTTGCTGTGGAGTGTAGACACATGTTTTCTGATGAATTATGCCCTTATGGCTAAAGAAGGTTTGATAGTTTGTGCTAAGGAACTCACTTCCATTATCAGGTCTAACTTGTTTAATAACCTTATCAAACTGTGTTTTAATAAGACTGTAGAAATTCTGCAATATGGAAAGGGTTTGAGATTTGTGTTGCATC